AAACCTTGAGGTCTGGGAATGTTGTCACTACCCGACTATTTTCAGAAAAATATAGATGACGTATCATTACATGTTCTACTGACCAAAAGAACTTGTTTCTAAATTGCACCTGTAATGTCCTCCTTCAACTTGTTTCAGATAACTAGTTAGGATTAGGAGTTTCAAAATTTCCTATATAGCTAAATTACAAAATAACTACAGCCCATTCCTTGGTAAATGTTCCTACTTTGAAACCATCAGCATGGGCAAGTCAACATCATATATCTACAACAAGCTCTGAATCTATTGTGTGCGTCTAACCCACACATCACGAGTTGTGCTTTTTTCACAGTTTCCACTAGACTAAATCCCTGGAGCTTCAGGAAGTTTGACTTGTTGATCAGACCTTAGATAATAATTCATCTAAAAGCAGCTATAGAATTAAAAAAGAGGCATCAACATGCTTTCCCAAAGAAAAAAAATGCCAACAAGACAAAGCATGCTACATCAAACTTCTCCATTTATGTTATATTATTAACATTATGAAGGGCAAGGTATAGTCACATGCTTTCCTAGTTGAGTTAGGATTCATGGCACACAACTATGATTCTCAATCCGTTGATGATTCAAGTGATATAGTTTCTATTGAAGCCACTAATTTGAAGAAAGTTAAATCACAACTGTCTAATCTCCAATTGAATTCTCTGGAATCTGGATGTTAAACTATAGTACAATTTATTTTACTCCATCAAAAAATGTTGCAGATTTCAGACCATACTCCAGGCTTTTGACAGAAATACTCGGAGTAAGCTAATTTAATTCATTTTTTGGCAAATACCAGCATAGACAACTAATCCATGAAAAGTACAATAAAGTTCGCCTAATTCTACCACAAAATACACGAAAAGGGTAGACTAATGTAGTTGAATATTTAGCAAATTTGATAATTTCGAAATTTTCATCCACAAAAAGAAGAATCAAATTAACCTAATTCTACCTCCATTTATCTATACAAATAGCAAACAAATAAACTTACCTAGTGAACACAATCAGAAATTTGTACAAAACTTTTCGATCTATGAAGATTGAGATTAGGAAATCCAAAAAAGTGAGAGAAGTGAATTTTTTTTACCTTAAAATGGATATTCTGATTCCAAATCTAGTGAGCTAGCTAATGCATGCAAAGTTGTAGAAATGGCTAAGAAATGGCGGAGGAATGACAGAGTGACCGTCGCCGCCACCGGCAGTTTACCAGTGTTATCGGCGCAGTTCACCATCGCCGCCACCGGCAGACCAAGTGACATTCTGAACTTGTTCCTGGTGGAACCTCCTCGTCCTCGTTTCGACATCCCGACCCGTGTTGTTCTTCACGATCGCAAAAAATCTGAAAGCTATAGAGAGATGATGGAAGTGAAAGAAGAAGATATGTGTGTTAAATGAATCGTCATTTTGGGAATTTTGCTCAAAAATAGTTTTTTTTTTGTAGATAAAGCGCTATTTAGCTTAACAAATACCATAGATATAATCATGTTTTTATTTATATAAAAAAAAAATATCTAAAGGTTATAGAAAGTATATACCAATTAAAATACTGAAAATAGAATTACTGAACTGAACATAATTTTTTGGTATTTTCATATTTGGGATGGTATTCGGAAGTAAAGTTTTAGAATTACGATATTTGGGTTTGGATGAGACACTAGTATTCGATATTTTTCGAATACAGAATTATTTACTTAATGAATGTCATATATCAACAGGTTCATAGCTCATTAGTACAAAAAAGAAAGTTAAATACTACATAAGCAACTCAAATATATATATATATATATATATATCTTTTAGTTGTATCAATTTTAATTTTTTTGATGTCTTCTTACTTGTTTATCTTTTACTAGTATACGTGCCCGCGCGATGTGCGGATGACAACAAAAGGGAAAAAATACATTATACAATAAGCACGAACTACTTTATAAAACTAAAGAGTACTTCTAAAGTAATATTGCTACAAAAAGTTAAATATAACACAAATAGTTAAACAATAACACTATGAAATATTCAAAAGTCTAATTTGGTTTAAGACAAATATACTAATTAAGTTAAAATGTTAGCATATTTTACTCATAATTTGATGTCTTCATTACATTGGATGAATAGCAAGTATATTAAAAAATAGTTACGCTAAATATGGAAAACACTCATTACAACAACAATAACCTACAATTAGGGGTGTTCACGGTTTGGATAAAAACCGATCCAAACCGAAAAACCAAACCAAACCGATAAAATAAAACCTATTTTACTTGGGTTTGGTTTGGTTTGGTTTTAGATTTTTCAAAAACGATAGTATTTGGTTTGGTTATGGTTTTATTCGAAAAAAATCGAAGAAATAACCGAACCGAACCGATGAATTATATACATATATTTTATTAATATACATACTTAAAATATTGTTTTTATAAACAATTTTAAAGATCTTATACATATTTTCATTAAAATTTCTTTATAATTTACTTATTGAAAGCAAAAATGCCCAAGATGAAACATTTATCTTATTGATTTCATGTATATGAGTGTCTATGTCAATTCTTTGTGGGACTGAAAATGTTATTGTCTCTTCCTTCTAGGCCAATATAGTGAATTTTAAAGCTTTATTGATAGTAAATTTAGTGATCGAAAGTTCAGTAATTTAAGTCATTCTAACTATTTTTCGTTTTGAATGGATTGTTGTCACTTTTTTTACATTTTAAATGAATTGTTTCTTTTATTTTTGTGTATGGTTAATAACCGAATCAAACCAAACCGAAACCAATAATCAGCAAACCGATAAATGTATATTATATTTGGTTTCATTTGGTTTTGATAATTTTAAAACCGATTAAGTTGGTTTGGGTTTGCTTTTGGTTTTGACCAATAACCGATCCAAACCAACCCGTGAACACCCCTACCTACAATGCTAAAATCTCATACACAAAGCTTTATATTAGATTATTTATTTATTATTTATTATTAGTAATTTAATTGTTTTTTATTTTATTTTGAATCGAAAGTTTCCTCTTTCTACTATAGGCATGTTATCCGGATAGATTTAATAAAAATAATACTCTACCCATTCACCCTACGAAAACCCACAGTTTTTTTTTTATTGACAATCAGTTTTTAAATTTTTATTTTTATTAGATTATTAATTTATTATTTCTTTTGGATCGAAAGTATTTTCTTTATTTTATTAAATTGGGCATGTTATCTGGATAGAATTTAGTGAATTTAAAAAATGAAAAAACCTACCCCAATTCCCTTACACAATCAACCGTTTCTCTTTTTGGTTATTTAAATTTTAAATATATTTTTTAAAAATAAAGAATAAAAATAGTTTTTAGTTACCTGAAACTAATTTTTAAAATTGTTTTAAAATAATATATATTTAATTATTCTAATTTTTATATTAATTATTTAAAAATATGATTTTTGTGGTGGTGACACGTAGGTGTTTTTTCCTCTCCTATTATATATAGATAGATTATATCGTGCATCCACATAGAAAAATAGAAATAATTTGAGTGATAATATTAACAATCAGCAACAAATTATTTATTACCGAATACTATAACAAACCGAAGGTTGATTTACCAAATACCAAATACCTAACCGAAATTTAAAATTTTGATATTTGGTATCTACTTTTAACTACCAATTTCGAGTTACTGAATATATCAGAAATTTAGAAATCTCGAACATCCACCCTAAGACTAATTATACAATAGCTTGCCAAAAGTTAGGATTGGCAAAATTAAGCTCATTCTCCCAATCCGTTTAAGTTTGGATATGTTATTGATCCGCTTATTTATTAGGTTAACTCATTTCAATCCATTAAAATTTAGGTGATATGTAACAAATATTGAATCAACCGAAATCTTGTCAAAATATTCTTAAAGAACTTTTTTTAAAATTTGATATGTTATATATTTCCATTATAAAGAAAGATAATAATTTTATTAGGAAAAAGAACAATAAAATAAGTAAAACATAGTAAAATTTGGGTTCTATAATTGGGACTCGCCTGTACAACCTTAATTATTTGTTGTTTTTATGATAAATATATTTTTATATTAAAAATTTACATTTTATAAATACAATTTTTTATTTATGATTATATTATAAGTTGAATTTATTTGCGTAATTATTATGTTTATTTATATTTTGATTTCTCTTAAAATGTTCACTTCACTACTAAATTACATATTTTTCATTAAATTGTTTATTACTCACTTAATAATTATATTTTATCTATAATTAAAGTGTGGATAACTTTAATAATAAATTTTCTTTTACTTTAATAAACTTAAAACGAAAGTCTTAATTTTTAAGCTAAATAAGATGAAAGTTTTACTTTTAAACTAAATAAGATGAAAGTTTTATTTTTAAGCTTAAATAAGATGAAAATCTTATTTTTAAGCTAAATAAGATGAACATTTTATTTTTAAGCTAAATAGGATGAAAGTTTAATTTTTAACTTATATAAGATGAAAGTTTAATTTCTAAAACATACGGCACAATCATGGAAATGCACACACAAAAATATTTAAGCTAAATAAGATGCAAATGTTATTTTAAAGAATGAATAACTAATGCTTGGAAAGAAAATGTAAAAAAAAATAGTTTAAATAGGGTGAGGGTATTTTGTAAACAAACAGCTTATCCTCAAAAATTATACAATGAATATTAGTTTGGTGTTCACGTAAAAAATTATGTAATACAACGCAAACAACTACTATAGAGAGTATTTTTGTAGAAGATAAAAGTTTGGTGTCATCCCAAATAATGAGATTTGGTCCAAACACTAGAAAAAACTAGTATTTGGGAATTTGGGAATTTGGGATATTTGCCAAAAATATTTACCAAATAATGTAAAAATTTATGAACAAACACTATTTGCTAAAAAATTTCCCAAATATTTACAAGTGTGCCTTATAAATACTCATTAAAAAATAAGCTAAAATAACGAGTTCCCTCCAATAACTTTTTGCCCGAATTTCAGAAAATAAGAGTACTACCATATTTTTGGCTAAAATAATAAGCTCCCCCCATATTTTCTATTTCCCCCAATTTCTAAGAAAACAAGTGCCCTAAATTTCATTCAAAGGTTTCTGTTCAATCAGTTTAGCTAAGTCGCTTATTCTCAATTCTCCATTCTTATGCGTTTATCTGATTTATGACTTGGAAATTTCATCCATGGTAACTTTAAGTCTCCTTGTTTGGTGGACAAAAGTGTTGGAACTCTTGATGATTTTGGAAAATGGAAATAAAACAAGGTTTCTTCTCAGCCTTTGAGGAAGAGGTGGTGCGGGTTATCGTCAGGTAGGTCAGGAGCGATGAGTCCGCCGAGAAGTGGGTCACCCATCACTACTTTGCTTCAGAGGAAGAACATCGGCTTCATTGACTCTGTTTCAGGTAGGGTTTTGATATTTCTCACAAATTTGGGCAATTTCTGAAAAAATTTCTCCTTCACAACCTTTTGTGATAATATGTGTGTGAAAGAGGAGTTGTTCTTTGTGTGAATTTGTTTGGGGAATTTAAATATCGAGTTAAATTTCTTCAAAATTTTTGATATATTTATATAAATTTTTATATGATTTTTTCAGTAATTTCTGTTTCGACTTGTTTCTATATTTGTAGAATTGAAACTTAAATTAAGAAGCAATAGTTTTAATCTTAGGTCTACTCGTTTTATGTAGTGTAATAGAGTTTGTATTTTCCTTCTTATGAACCTTCATGTAGGAGCTTTGTCACTTTGTCTTTCAATGGCTTGATAATTTCTTCTTTTTCGTGTTTTCGGAGTAATTAGTATGATTTGTTTGATATGAGGAAATATCAGTAAGGAATTTAAATTATTGTTACACATGTGCAATCATATCTATAAACATGTTTGCTACCCATGCGAGGATTTCAATTGAGTATATAGTTTGAAGGGGTGTTGATTCATTATAACAGGTTATTTATCTAATGATTCGAAGGAATTTAAGATTTGTTTCTGAACTATAACTATGATTTGTCATGTTGCTTGAAGTTCTGATACAATTTAGAATTTTGAATTCTTGAGCTGACTTCTTGTCATTGTCGTTATGCAATCTGAATCCAGAAGAGAATTTTGCAAAGGAATGTTGTTTCTTTATTAATTCTAGATGGATCTAATTAAGAAGTTGTTGTCATAAAAATATATTGTGTTGCTGCTATAACTAAGTATTGATATGAATATTTTAGATTGCAAGTTCCTTTTTAAAGAGAAATTCTGAGTGTGAAAACAAATAGTGGTACTGAGATTAACTAGAAGGATTTCGAAGTCCAGTTTTAGTGTGTGTTGTAATTGTTCATTATCTATTTCATGACCATTTCCCTGCAATAGGTTGTGAATAGCTTTGGTTCTACAGAATTTTATGTCTTTATCTAGTTTTTATTAAAATTTTGCATTGTTATTAGCCTGATTTTCTTCTGTCATGTTATTTCATGAACTTGATTGAGATTTATAAAGAGACATAACACTTCAATATTTAGGACTCCTACCATTTGGGACACCATCTTTGCTCATGTTGATATGTTCTTTTCAATTCTTGTGGTTGTAATGTCAAAACTTTGTTCCTTTAAGTTGTATAATAATATGCGAAAGTTCTTATATTTTTTAGTTGAAACTTAAAATTTACCTTCTTGTTTGAAAGACTTAGAAAAGTTCTCATCCAAAATACTAGGAAGGAAATGACATCTTACTTATCATTTTGGTTCGATCGAAAAACCATATTTAGATAAAAGTCTGTTTCAATACGTTCAACACCTTGTTTAAAGAGGTGCACATGACTCAGTCCACATGGTTGATACAAGATACACAGATCAGGGATGAGCTGCACATTTCCATATTCCAAAAGTTTATTCCTGTTTGTAGATCTTTTCTTGGACGGTTTAGGAGCCATATAGAAAGTAGAAGACATTCAGAAAACTATATCAAGTAAACGGTGGAGGACCTAGAGAATGTTGTCTTAGTTTTCTTTGAGGGGTACGCTGGGTCACAACACTTTAGAAGATCTCAGTTAAAGAATATTAGTTTCAACAGTTAGTACTCTAGGACATTTTTTGAATTTTTTTCATCGAGTTATTCAGGGACTGAGGTTATGGCATTCTAGTGTTTCTCGAGTTTCTGCTTTCAATTTCAGTATTCAGGGTAATGAGCTGCTGAAAATATTAGGAAGATCAACTCTATCTATCAAGAAGGGTCAGTGCCTCATGCCTCTGAATGCTCTGCCCTGTAAGCATGTTGTGGTATTTCTTTCATACTCTTACGCTTTATCCATAACTGGACTATTGTATTGATTTCTTTCTTGAAATTTTATCATAATCACGATTTTGTTAACTTGGGTCCAGAATTTAGTTTAGATTAGATGACTTCTACATTGCTACGATATTGACCTTTGTAATATCATCTTGTAAGTTTATCTTAAATACACTACTACGACGATGTTGCTTACTACTGTCTTCTTATTGTTTTTAAATCTGTCTTTCTCATAAATGAAACAATTTTTCGTGAATTTTTAAATTTTACATGGGAAATTCGTGGGGAATGACTAATTATCTCACTGTTTGATGTATGACCATGCAGATTCCTTGGATTGTTTGTTGTTAGTTTGTACTTATTTTGTTTTCTCAGCTTAGACGACTAGTGCGGTGGTTCTTATTAAGCTATTCTGGGTAAAAGTTACTAACTAGTTCTGTTGATATGATTTTCTCAATCATGGAATGCTTGAACTGGACATATATCATGAAAGTTGTGCCGGACAACAGGCCTTCTGGTTGAAACTATGATGTGTGTTGCATCTGATGGTCAAAACTTACAAGGTGTGCCTTCTAATGTTACTGATCTTTTTTCTACCTCTTCACACACCATGTACTCCATGTTTCTAATGTATCAGTTTCCAACATATCATGTATTACATAAAAGAGAAAGAATAGAGTCAAAGGTGCAAAATCTTTTTGAGATACAAGAGATTTTCTGCCTAGTGGAATTAGTATGATTGTTAATACCTTAGACTTTGGGTTTATGGCTAATCATTTCACATGTAGCTTATTGGTATGTTTCCCTAGAGGATCTCGAGCCCTTGTGTATTTTCAAATGTGCTCGTCTTTAATATTGATTTATCGTGTATAACCATGCAGTCGTATTAATATGCGTATCTTAGTGACACTTCTACAATGAGCTTGTCCTTCACTTGTAGGTTAATAACTTGATATATAGTATGCCAAACTATATTGCCTTTTTCAATGATTACGTATGCATTGTGATGAAGTGTATGTACCTCTTAGCTAATCTTTGCTTCACAATATTTACATTTGATGTACTATCAGAACAGTCAATGGACTGATTTCCCTGAAAACATTGTGTCAATGGCTAAGAAAGATCTTCGGATAAAGAGATCTGGGACGGAGGTGGTGTTCAATGGTAATAACTATGTGCTAGATTTCTTCCATATGATGCTATTGGACCTGAAGTCAGGTATGCAGCAACCTATTGCATGGATTGATGAAGCAGGCAAATGTGTTTTCCGAAAAGTCTTTGCTTATTGCGATGAGTTGCATGGCTTCCTTCTTTGAAAGGAAGGAATACGAGTATTATGAAGTATGGGCTTGCTATTTGTTATCCATCCAGAACCAACTCCAGTTACGACATTGGTGTTCATCTTTTCCCTGCTATTTGTAGTGAGATCAGGTAGTGTTGTTTCCACCTTTTGATTTTCAGTCAAACTGATTTTTTGTGCAATATGGACAAAGTTGAAGAAGGACATTACAGGTGCATTTTAGAAACAAGTTCTTTTGGTTAGTAGAACATGTAATGATACGTCAGCTATATTTTTCTGAAAATAGTTGGGTAGTGACAACATTCACAGACCTCAAGGTTTGGGGGGGGGGGGTTTTATCTGAAACATTCGTATAGTTTTACTGGTAAAACGGGATGAATGATTGTTGTAGTGCATGCCTCTGCCTATATGCTATGCTGATACAGATTTTGAAGAGTAGGACAAGTCTTAAGCTTATTGATTTCATTTTGTTTAGTCAATTTATAAGTTCCCTAGTGTTTGTCATCTATAATAGAGGAATATCAATCAAGTTTGTCAATTACTAGTTTCTGGTTTTTTCTTTTCGTATGGTACCTGTCCATTTTCCTGAACGATAATTAGTTTGAATTTTCACAGAAAATCCTTCTTGTTGGTATTCCGGTTTTCATAGTAGAATGAATTTTTTTTTGTCCAGTCAGTGTCAATGATCTCCCACATTATTCTATCCATTTATTAATTCCATGGTGCTAGTCAAATGTACGAGCCTAACCTGTAAAATCTGTAAATAATGACATGTGTTTATATAGCTGTTGCAATCTGCTATAATCTAGTGATGTAAATTCTTGAAAGAGTTGATAACACAGCTTTGCCGGTCTTTGTCCCATCTTGCACTTCTGTTAGGAAACAATGTGTTTTTTTCATTTTATTGCTCGTGATCCTTGTTCTCGGTCACATCATTATTATCAATGTTTAAGTCCATCATCTCCGGTACAGCAAGGTGATTGAACATGTTGTTGTTCTCATGTTTGCTACTGTTAATGTCCGAATGCTTTTTTTTCCTTCATCTTGTTTAGTTGTTGTTTCACCTGGTTAGTCTCCTCATTGTTTTTCCTTTTTCCTTTCTTCTTTTCCACATGTTTTCAGCCCTCTTCTATTTCACTAGTTAAGGCTTGTAGATCTTTTTTGAAGTTCATATCCATATGCATCTCTTTTTGCTGAAGCAAACTCTGCTTTCCATATGTTTCCAGCCCTCTTCTATTTCACTAGTTAAGGCTTGTAGATCTTTTTTGAAGTTCATATCCATATGCATCTCTTTTTGCTGAAGCAAACTCTGATTATCAGAAAAAGTTTCAGCAGTCATACCTGGATTTTGCATGGTCTCTTCGATTTTATGCTTGTCATTGTTGTTCTCTTTTTGGGATTCAACTTCTTTAATATTTGCTCTGTTCAAGTTTTGTTTTTAACAGAAGTACAAGATGTAACAATGACTGAATACTATCATGGTTAATAGCTCCAAAGATGTCATTTAAAAAAATAAAAGCTAAGTCATTTGAGATGTTGCCGAGGTTTGTCACTAACAACAACTTGTTTTCCTTTGTCTTGGTGTCTTGGTGTTTGCAGTAGAGTGTCTTGGTGTTGTTGGAGTTGAGTTTTCCTCTTTTTCCATCCATCCTATATTGCGTATTTATAGATGTCTTATGAACTGCAATGGTATCTACTGCTACGTCGATTTATTGGGGGATGTAGAATCTAACACTCCTTAGCCGTAAAGTGGGACACTCTTTTAGGACTCGAGTACTTGCACTGAATTATCTCAGGATCAAGCTGTGAGATTAGTCCTAGTAGAAGTGTCTGCTGAAATAAAATGTGAAATAGCTCTGCATTTTCACATGTAGTAAGATAAAGATTTCTAGTTATAATTATTTAATCATTTGGAAATTAATCATCAGTAATTTCAGCTCATCTGGAAAGAAAATAACATAACAATTACATTTAATCTTAGACTTGGGAGAAACTCATATACACTATACCCATTAAGATACCCTTCTCACTTGTTTTAGAGAAAACTGCAATATTGCTTCCCTTTCATATTACCACTCTCTCAACTTCCACTTGCCAGTACTAGGTAACCAAATAATTTTATTATAGTGATTTATTTGTGATCGAAGTGACTTGATTGTATAAATATCTTTTACGATGTTAAGTAACTGTGCTGGTAAACTGAGTCTAAGATGTGTGTGGCACTCCACACTTTTTCCTTTAGGAAGATGGAGGGAAAAAAAAAGCAAAAAGAGACATGAAGTTCATGTCTCTTTTTTGGGTTATAGTAACTTTATACTTTTATTATACAAGACCCTTCACTCCAACAGAACTTCTATAACTGCTGCAATCTGATTTGTTGTACATGATTTGTTTTGATTGTTAATTTCTTTTTAAATGTGTAGGGAAATGGAGGTGATCAAATTTGAAGGGTCGCCACAAGTCAATTTGATCTCATTGAAGTGGAAGTGGATAATGATGAGTTTTTGAACTATTGTAAAAATTGTTGTGAAATCTATTCATTGCTAGAATATATTGAACTATTGTAAGAGTACTTTTTGAACTATTGTGTACACATATTTAGAATATTGCTTTATAAGTATGTGTATGTACACAAGATATACTATATTTTGAAGTTTATTGCAAATCTATATATTTTAATTACTTATTAGCTAATTTAATGTTTGAGATTATTTATTGCAAAACGATATTGGTGTTTTTTAATTAGAAATTGTGGCATATAAATATTTTATAGCCAAAATAATATTACCACACTTAAAAGTGTAGCCAAAGGACTGTAAATTGATGTATGCACATGGGCAAGGATGAAGTGTTGTCATACATAAGATAGAAAAGGCAACACTTTAAAATCGTGGTTAATAAGGAAGCAAAGGCCACACTTGGCTTATGGATTATAAATTTTAGCATGTACATAAGAAAACTTAAACTTAATAAGTGTTGTTGCAGCTGAGACATAAAAGGTGACACTTTTAAAGTGTGACCAATAACAGCAGTTCAGGTACTTTAATGGTCGGGTTTCAATTTATATATAGTGACTATGGTAGTCGGCAAGTATTTTTCGACGCTCAGTCTGCCGTCTACTCAAAAGTAGTCGGAAAGTCATCGAAAAACTCCATTTTCCGACTACATTCCGACCAATTTTGAAGTCGGCAAACAACGAAATTCTAGTAGTGTAATATATTCGACATTTGTATTAAATGTCGCTATTTTAGCAACACTTTTGCTAAAAGTCGCTAAAATCAATGACATTTTACAACAAATCTCACTATTTTAGTGACATTTTTTCTAAATGTCACTAAAATCAATGACATTTTGCAGTAAATGTCATAACATATTCGACGTTTATATTAAATGTCACTATTTAAGCGATATTTTTTCTAAATGTCACTAAAACCAATGACATTTTGTAATAAATGTCATATTATATTCAACATTTGTAGCAAATGTCGTCATTTAAATGACATTTTCGCTAAATGTCGCT